TGAATTCAGCCAACTTGTACCTCTCCTAGCAGTCAAATTACAGTCACAACCCACATCTACTACAAATACTGGAGCTTATTAATGTCGGGATAGACACACAGGTCTTTAAAAGCATATATATATATATTTTGCTTTAACCAACTTTTATTCTTGGGACTATAATACGTCAAGTTTGATGGATCTAAGTCGATGAAAAGCGGAAAAATTTTTATCAACATACCACACTCCCAGTTGAACATACTTATACTTAAAATTATATTAATGGCAACGTTAGTCAATTGGACTTGAATAACCAAAAACAACCGATGTGCTAAAAACAAATATCATATATGCTTGGACGAGACAGACAAAATAAATAGATCTCTTGCATGGGAGATTGGGGAGTACGACATTGAATATGCTCAGACGCTCTGTAAAGGGTTTATGAACAATTACATTTCTGCTTATAGTACTGTGAACAAAAAGGTGGGTGGCTTCAGTAGAATTTTTTTTAAAAGAAAATGCTTAAGGGTCTTGAGGGTGTGTAGGTAGATGTGTATTTTAAAGTAGAATTTTGGTTTAATGGTGATTCATTCTATATATATATCTTTCCTTTTCAAATTTTTCTATCCCTTTGCTATTTCTTTGTTACTTCAGCTAAACAAGTGAAGTCATATCTCCCTTTCATTTACTTTCTTGTATCATGATTCTAAATGTTTTATCTTTGTAGTATTCTCAAGGAATAATGCGCTATTAAGAACCAAAGAAACCTCGGAAATCAGATCTTGACTTTAGAGCCTTTTTCATTCAATCCAAATCTGCTGTATGTTATTGTATTGGTAAAAAAGAACTCTATCGAAAATTTTGTAGTGATTGTAGATATTTAGAGGATTCTAGTAATTAAGAGGATTTAAGTTATTATGCGGGCACAGAACTATACAGCCATTTTGGGACACAACGTTTACAACGTATATAGCTTGTATAGCTTGTATATATATATTGCACGTTAAAGTAATATTATTATAATAGGTTTGCTAATTAAATCTAGCTGGAAACTATATTATACGGGAATAAATCAGGACGTTATTAATTAACTACTAATTTGACTTCTATAAGTTACTACTGATAGTTAGGGATCGGATTTAATTGCTGTGTGCTTAACCACCTTCCGCTTTACATGAGTTAAATATACGATAAGAAAGTCCCAATTAAAGCAAAGGTAGCTCCCCACAGAAACATTGTGCTCAAACCATTAGCAAAACAAAAAGTATATAGCATGTATAAAAACAACTAGGTTCGGACGTCAATATCTGTGAGCAGATGCAAAAAAAAAAAAACGGATAGCAAATATTTCCGATGGATGTTATACATTTACCCGTGTGGTGTGGATAGATTATATGCCTTTTTTATATACTTCCTTAACAAATTAAGTCTTTTTTAGAGTAGTAAATATCTCCACGAATTCACACTTGTTTCTTCTCTGAAAAGCATCAGAAGATCCATATTTACGTTTTACACAACTTTACTTATAGACGAAAAAGAAAATTTTCCAAACTTTTTTTCAGTTGCCCTGTGAGTAAAAGTGGGTATCGAAAATGGACTTTTTTGGTGCAAATAGCCCAATTTACAGTGGATCAAGATTTTATAGAGTGAAAATGTGGGATGTTTTGGTCGATATTTGAGCAATTAATGCCCTAAACTGCTGATAGTGTGGATCTTAATGTGTCTAACCAGGTTGCTTATAGGCATAGAGGCTGTTATATTTTATGAACTGTGATATATAGCTGATTTTTGGTATAGAATTTGCCAATTTGATCAAAATTATTATTTTCGTTGTTAACAATTAAATAGCTGGTGTGGACAGACTAAAAGTTCAAAAAAAGGTCAAAAAAAAAGGGCAAAACAACTTCATCCAGAACTTAGTCAATCAGACTACTTTATGACTGTCCACACCTTTTTTTTAAAAAAAAAAAGTTCAAAATTAGTTCAAAATACATATTAGATAAAATTGTGCATATAATCCCGTCTCTGTCATTAAGTGATAACCTTTTATTGCGGGTTTTTCCAGGCCTCTCATTATATGGCACATCTTATCCATGAAAAATGCTTCTCTTCTCAAGCCTAGTGACAACGGAAGAAAGCTAGCTAATTAGAGTCGATTAAAAAATTTGTCCTTTTTTTGAACCTCCAAAAAAAAGGGCAAAATTAATTAAAACTCTCGACCAATTATATGCCTTAAAGTTTTGCTCTTTTTTTGCCCTTTTTTTGAACTTTTAGTCTGTCCACACCAAATGTTTTCTTGTTCATCTTCAAAAAAAAAAGAATTCATCATTATATTCTATTCTATAAAGAAGAGAAAAGTTACAAAAAAAAAGTCGCCAAAGAGGTGTGCCAATTAAATGTAATATCCGGGCTAATGTTAATTAGCAAGTTGTGACAAAAATAATCTAAACTCGTAACATTTTTTAAACGAACATTTATTTATGATTTAAGTCCTTTATGCTTGTTGCTCTCCTCGTAAACTGGCCGAACAATATCCGTCTTTGCCCATTCAAGACGGCACATCCATTGACTTGTTCCCTTTCTTTTATGCGCTCGTACCTTCTCAAACTTGGGCGCCTCTTTCCACCCACGCTTTCCGCGGGCTGTGCTCCCACAATCTCGTCCGTGCTCGCTATTTCGATCCCCCTCTTGGCTCTTGCCATTGGCGCAAATTTCGATCTTTACCTCTTCCCCTGGTGGCTCGTAACATTTGGTTTAGTAGTCTCCAGGACAAGATTTCCTGCCGTGCTCGTCTTCACTCTTTGCTTCCTCTCGCTTTTCCCTCTCCTACCTGCTCTATTTACCCCTTTTCTCCGACTCCCAAGACCACTTCTTCTTCACTTGTCCTCTCAAAAACGCGGTGCGGATAGGCATGTAGCTGGAATTCTTTGGAAAAATACCTACCCCAACCGTACTACACAATGCTTTTGGCTTCTTCTCTTTTCCCTCTTTCTTGAACTCGTCTATTCCCCCTTCTGCCGTCTTTGGATGCACCATCCTTGATATATGGCGTCACCAATGGACTTTCATCTTTGACGATTCACCTTTTGTTCCTTCTGCTGTTGTTGGTACGGCTCGCAAGACCTTAACCCGCATTTGCCAAAGATTGGAACTCGATCCTCTCTTTTAACACTTATACTTATATTTATCATTATTAACAAAAACAAAAGACCCCAAAAAAAAACATGGAAAAAGCTAGAAAACCCTCCAAACAAATTCTATGATCCCTCTTTTGAGTGTCTTCTTTTGAGTGTCACCAGACCTCCTAAGCCTAATAAAATGCTTCTTACAAAAAAATATGACTTAAGGCTAATCATTTTTTTTAGAAAACGCCAAATTTCATAAGCCTTAACTGTATTTGTTTTCTTCTATTCGTCGATTTTAATTTTAGATATATATATATATAACTCAATATTTTTGTTTTTCACCTCTTTACCTTTTTACCTCTTTATCTCTTTATCTAACTATCCGTATGGGATACTCAGATTTACCATTTGAAATCCTTAATCAAGTTTCTGATTATCTATCGACAAATGACAAACGCTCTTGTTCACTGACATGCAAGGGATGGAGATACCCATTCCAAAATGCTCTGTGGAGATATATACATATCAATTCGTACCGTGGCGTCCAAAAACTTATCGACAGTATTAAAAACCATCAGATCGTTTCCACAACTTACGGTCTTTCGGTTTATAGCCTACGAATATATTTTTCTTACTCTGCAACAGAAACATTAGATATATAGTTTTCTGAATTATTCAAGTACCTGCCAAACTTGAAGCGTCTAGATCTAGAACGCATAAGCTATAAACGCATCTATACGGACATAACAGGCTCGGACAAAATATGGACGTCTCTGGAAACCCTGAAAATACAATGGTAAGGAAGTAGTGACATACAACAAAGGATAGACTTCTTTAAATTTTTAAATGGGTGCAGCATGCTCCGAGAATTAGAAATATGTAACAATTCAATGAATCCATACTTCGAGTTTAGTATGAATACTTTGACAGCATGCACAACAACCTGAAAAACCTATCGTCTATCTCGGTTCGCATAAATCCGGATTATGACTTTTTGCCCACACTGGACACGATCCCAAATATGGCACCGGTTTCTTTTGTGACATCTCTAAATATAAATTGGGACCAACACAGCAACGGGAGTAGACGTCGGAATAACTGGGATCCGTTGTGGCTATACTATTTTGGCTACAAATATCCAAACTTGCGTTCCTTAAGGTTAAATGCTATGACCATATGGCCGAGAAGGTTAATCATTGACAAGAACGAAACAATGCTATCTCTTTTTAAATACAATCCAAACGCGTTTCAACACTTGGAAACATTCGTTCTCACACACGACAAACATTTTGCAATTTCTTTCTTCGCTTTATTGAAAGTATTTCGTGAATTAAGATACCCTCTTAGGCATTTGACGTTGGGTGCAACACAATTAGGAGATATACACGCTTCATTCTCAATAGACATTAACAGAATTTTACAATTCTTTTCTGAAACACTCCAGAGTTTTTCAATTAAAGATTTTAAATATATTTTTGGAGACCAAGATCAGACTTTCAAACTATCATCTTACCACTTGCTTTTGACGAACCTTTGTATCAGTAGCATCGACCTGGTTTTTGATGTAGGCAATATATTGGACAGATGTGTGACTCTCAAAGAATTAGAACTTTGTGGTAAAGAATTGCTCATTATTCCAAACACGACAGCCGAGAATTTAAAACAGCAGCAGCACAGATTGCGGACTCTGACATTAGGAGGCTCTGTAGCCTCTGAAGTATTCAATTACCTCTCGCTCAGGTGTAAAAGTTTGAAACAAATGACTTTAGATACTTTGCATATAAATGGATCTATTTGTAAAAGAACCGGGTGTTTGCTACTCAATATGCCACATACCTTCCTGAAGACCCTGAATATCGGCCAGCTTCGATACGGTCCATCATATGAAGAAACAAATTTATACGATCATAGTCGTCTGACGCTTCTGTCTCAATTAAACGACGTTTCATTAACAGACGAAAAGATCAAAAGAGTAAAAAAAATCAAATTGATTCAGAGCACCCTATATTAACAAGTTACCCTATTTATTGGGTCCAGACATATTATGTATCTGTAAATTATAAGTACGAGACAGTAAAAACTACAAACTTTCAAAGAGTGGAGCCGATCTCGCATTTAGATACTATCGAACATTTCAATCTAAAAAATCCCTCGAAAATATAAAACAGCAATGCTTGTACGATGAAGAGATCGGCTATATGGACTGGGAATTCGAGCTTCACAAAGGATATGGCCAATTCAGATTTGGCAAAATTGAATCTATTCATGTTATATGCCCAGCATATGGAATCCAAATTCAAAAAAAAGGGTATGAGCCAAGCCCTTTTTAAAATAAAACAAAATAAAGTAATATATATTGTAAGTTTCCATTATGATTGTGATAAGACAAGAAATAAACAGCGGGTGAGTAAAGTGATAAGCCAAGGTACAGAAACACAATAGCAAAATATCAAATTCCTAGCTCCCAGGCTATCAATACTATATTTAATAGATAGCTTCTCTGGCTTGGAACCTAATATTTAAGGTTGCTAGGTCACGACATACATTCGTTAACTCAACCTTTGTGCTCATCCTATATACTGTGACCATTGACCCCAGATTGTGAAAAGACTTCTGTAGTCAAATTCTGAAACATTATTACTTTCGGTAGTTTTTTACTCCTCTCTACTTCCCTGAGTTTGTCTTCTAATTTCTTTTCCTTCATTCAAAAAATGGTATATTATACGCCGAATGAACAAGCTGTTAGTCTACTGTACATTTACAGTATAGGGCTTTTAATAAAGTACAAAATATAAAAGATATTGGAGCAACTTGAACGGCCTATAAATATTTGGTATCAAATATATTCATATATATAAACGTACCTTCTACAGCACTAACAACTTTCTTTTTATTTTAACCTTTTTGTGCGAACAGCTTAATTTGCCTTGTATTTATTTATGGTTACCCTCAAAAGCTCAAGTACAACCGGATTTGTAACTCACCATATCAGCGTACCGCAATATTTGTCTTCTTCTGTTCGTTGACTTACATTTTGGATATATATATGTATATGTATATGTATATGTATATGTATATGTATATGTATATGTATATGTATATAATTTAACATATTCGTTTCTCACCTCTTTACCTCTTTATTTCCCCATATAATTATCATTATGGGATTTTCAGAACTACGATTTGAAATCCTTGCGAAAATTGCTGATAATCTGTCGAGGCGGGCTAATCTTTCTTGTGCCCTTACGTGTAAAGGATGGAGATATGCGTTTAAAAAGGCTCTATGCAGAGATAAGCGTTTTGTATCTTACGACGACGCCCTAACGCTTACCAACATTATAAAAGATTTCGAAAATGTACCCACATTACACGGCATTTGGGTTCCCAATCTGCACATACCCCATTATTTCTCTGTGACAGAATTATTAGATATAGAATTTTCCGATTTATTAAGATACCTGCCAAACTTGAAGTGCCTGGATGTACCTATTATATTCCGTAAATATATTCACACAGAGCCACCAATATCAGACAACGCACGATAGTATCCAAGACGTTTGAGAATTCATCACAAAGAAACTAGTGAGCTACAACCAGCGAAAATCCCACTCGGCACTGAGAAAAAAATATCAGACAACGTATGGAAGTCTCTAGAAAGTTTAAGAATTCATTGCAAAGGAACTAGTGAGCTACAGCTAGCAAAAGATCTAGTCGAATTTGTAAATGCGTATAGCATGCTCCAGAGATTAGACATTTTTGATGACGCCGGCTCTCGTGGAACGGTGCGTACTGTTAGCTACTTGAAAGCATCACCAACATTGAAAA